GGCGGGTCCCCGGGACCTGGGCCCCAGCCCCCGCGGCCCCGCCGTCTGTGCCCTGGGCGCGGGACTCGCCCCGCCTTTCCCCTCCTGGGCCTGTCGGCCCTGTCACCTCCCTACCCCGTAGCTGGGTTCCCTGCCCTCTCCTCCGCGGCCGCATCCTCGCCTCAAGGGTCGTGCGCCGGTTTCGGGTCCGCGCCGCCGTCCTCCGCTGCCCGGCTGTTCTGATCGCCCCCCACAGCGGCGGCCGTTGGCCAGTGCACTTGCGTCTCAGACCGTGTCTTCCCCACGGTCGTCCGCGGGCCTTCCTGCACCGGAGCCCCCGCACCCAGCACGCACTAGGTCCTAGGCCCTCAGCGAGAGAATGACGAAAAGGCAGGCTCGCCGCCGGCAAGGAACTGCGACCAAAGGATGACACTTAGGGGTGGCCGAGGGGGCGATTTGTCCAAGTCGGCCAAGGAGGGGCCAGGAGGTTTCCGTAGAGGAGGAGGGATTTGAGTGGAGTTTGGAAGAGTAGACGTTGGGAGGAAAAAAGGGGCAAGAGGCCTTTCATTCCTGCCGTCTGGCACATTCGGGGAAAAGTATGGCTGGAGATGGGGAGCGGTAGGAAGCCAGAGAGGATCGGAACGAGGAGAACCTGGCGGTGGTGGCGGCGAGACCGTGGAGCGCGGTGCCGCTGTTTCTGATGACTTCCGGGTTTCGCGCCGCGGCGTCGGAGTGGCCGACTCCGAGGGCGACGGAACCGGAGCGGCTCTGGAGCGGCAGGTTCCTCCCTGCTCACCTCGCGGTCTATTAGTTGTCTGGTCTGCGGCCGCATCCCACCGTTCCTGTGTCCACAAAAGCCTTTCCTTTTGTCCTCTGTCCCTGTCGTGTGTGAATCACGGCCTCCTGTCAGCGCGTGCTCTTTGACCTGCCGTGCTTGCGCGTCGCCGCTAGCAGCATGTGCACAGCCTTCTCGCACTGTTTTGATTGCCCCAGTCGCCCCATCCCTGCCATCTCAGCTCCCGGTAGTGCCCCCCTCCCCCCCCCCCCCCCGCCCCCCTCTCTTGCCCGACACACGTGTTGTTCT